ACCGTTAGCCGACAATTTAGCATTTACAATTATTAGTTTATTTTACTGTTATGTAATACTCCTCCCCGCAAGAAAAAGAACTTTTTACCGTACGGGGAAAAGTTCAAACTAGCTAATTGCTATATAGAATTACACAACAGCTCGTTCGGCTATACGGGTGAAGGTAGCGTACGCCTCTTTCCTGTCCTTCGCAGTGTACAGTCAGCGGCCAACGTGTGTGGACCGCACTACTTACGATCTTGAAATTGCGTCCGCTATGATATTGTGTGTGCCTCTAATATGCAATATCTTTATATTGAATGGCTGTAATGTTAAAGCCCACCTCAACACTCGCATGTTTTTAAACTTTACATTTTCTATAAAAGTTAACGGGTTATGATCAGTGAAAATTTTGACTGGATGAACAGAGTTTGTTAAATAAACTCTAAACTTTTCGATTGCCAATACTATTCCCAAGGCCTCCTTTTCGACGGTGGCGTAAGACTTTTGATAAGACTTGTACTTATAAGAAAAATAACACACCGGGTGGAGCACTTCACTTTTGTTCTGCAAGAGGACCGCTCCCACACCACTATCACTGGCGTCAACATGAATTACAAATGGTTTGCCGATATCAGGAGCTCGCAAGACGGGAGCGGTACACAAGAGGTGCTTCAAGTTGTCAAAGGCTTGTTGACAGTCCTCTGACCACCTGAATGTCCGTTTAGTACTCAGCAAGTCTGTTAAAGGTGCGGATATCTGGGAAAAGTTCTTGCAGAAACGTCTATAATATCCAGCCATTCCCATGAAGCGCATCAGGCCTCTCCTGTCGACGGGCGTGGGATACTGGAGGACCGCTTCCACCTTCGCTGCTACAGGTGCGACCTGACCCTGACCGATCACGTGACCCAAGAAGGTGACATGAGCATGTCCGAATTCACTCTTCTGCAAATTTACCGTGAGGTTTGCGGCTGACAAGGCGGAGAAGAGTGCACGTAAACGTACCAGATGTTCCTGCCAAGACTCGCTCCAGATTACAAGATCGTCTAGGTAACAACGAACGCCTTCTAAGTCCGCAGTCAGGTAGTTCATGAGACGCTGAAAGGTCGCCGGGGCGTTCCTCATACCGAAGGGAAGAACCTTGAACTCGTAGAGACCGACAGGCGTGACAAACGCAGAAATCGGCCTCGCCCTCTCTGTCAACGGAACTTGGTAATATCCCTGGAGGAGATCCAACTTCGACAGGTGGCGTGCCTTCCCCAGGTCATCAATAATGTCGTCCATCCTCGGGAGGGGGAACGAGTCCGCCACTGTTACCGCATTCACCTTCCTATAATCTACACACAGACGGTAAGTGCCGCCACTCTTGGGAACGAGGACTATAGGTGATGCCCAGGGACTCAGGCTGGGACTAATGAACCCCTGCTCCTTCAGGCGCTGAACCTCCGTCTGCAGGAAAGCCCTCTTCTCTGCATTGAGGCGATAGGGAGCTTGACGTACTGGCTGAGCTTCCTTAGTCTCCACATCATGTTCCAGCAGTGGGCAGAGACGAGGTACATCACTGAATAGTTCCTCATACTCCTGCAGAAGAGAACGAATGTTTGCTGCTTGGGCAGCAGAAAGGTGTTTAAGTTTATCATCAGGTTTAGCTAAAATTGTCGAATTTATAAGGTTAGGCTCCACAATCTTTACATTATCACAAGTGTCATTACTGATGTTTGAAGGTACAACTATTGAAACATTTCGTACCTCATCCTTTATATCACCCCGTTCATGGTACTTTTTCAGGAGGTTTACATGTACATGACGGTTTTTCTTACGCCTCTTAGGTGTTTCAATCACATAATTTGTATCACTCGTTCGTTTTAGAATACGAAATGGACCCGTATAGCGAGACTGAAGAGGCTGGTTAGGAAGAGGCAGCAAAGCCAGAACTAAATCACCCTCATTGAAGGTTCTAACTTCAGTATTATTTGCTTTATCAAAATGTTCTTTCATTTTAGATTGAGCTTTACCCAAATGATTATGAGCTATTGAGATAGCTGTTCGTAATCTATGCTTAAATTTATTCACATAAGCAGCTACTGGAATGTCCTCCTCTTCAATTAACCAGCACTCCTTTAAGACCTTCAGTGGTCCACGCACTTCATGGCCGTAAATTAATTGAAATGGAGAATAACCAAGGCTCTCTTGAACACTGTCCCTTACTGAAAATAACAGCAAATCTATTCCTTCATCCCACTCAGAACCAGTCTCTAAACAAAAGGCTTTAATCATAGTCTTTAAAGTATAGTGAAACCTTTCAACTACCCCTTGACTCTGAGGATGATATACGGTGGACCTGCACTGCTGTATACCCAAGGACTTCATAACCTGTTCATACAGTCTGGACGTAAAATTTGACCCTTGATCTGATTGTATTACAGTAGGCAGACCAACTTGTGTAAAAAAAATTATCAATGCCTTCACAACATTCTTAGTAGTGATGCGTCTAAGAGGAATAGCTTCAGGATATCGGGTGGCCACATCAATTATGGTTAACAGAAACTTGTTACCCCGTTTAGTCTTTGGAAGAGGACCTACACAGTCAATAACTATTTTGCTGAAAGGCTCTGTTAACACAGGGATAGGTTGCAAGGGATATGGTTTGATACCATCTCCGGGTTTGCCTTTTACTTGGCAGATATGGCATGACTGGCAATAGTAACCAACATCACGTTTCATTTTCGGCCAATAAAAATGAGCTAAAATCTTATGGTAAGATTTGTTGACTCCCAAATGACCACTAATGTCATGTGCAATATTCAATACATCAGTTCGAAGGGGCTTTGGAATGACAATCTGATGTACTATCTTACTGGTATCGTCTGCAGATATATTATAGGGCTTATATTTACGCATAAGAACACCTGACTGGAGATAATAGCAGGTACTGAAATTGTCTATGTTACTTGTATCAGTAAGCCTATCATAAAATGTTTGCAACTCAGGATCTTTATATTGTTCTTCAATGAGCTTTTCTCTAGTAACTGGCATGTCTTTAAAATTTACTATATTAGAATTATCAGAAGCAGAAATGTTTGAATCTTTGTCAGATGATTTAAAGAAATCTGCCAAGGTGAAATCCTCGGTGAATATATCATTAAGGCTCTCTTTGGGTAATGCAGTACCGGCGGTAAGCGCCTTGGTAGGAGGGGAGGACCTACGACTTGCACTGCGGGTGACAGCACATGCAGGAAAGAGATCGGGATACTCCCTCTCTAAATCTACGGTGTTGTTCTCCTCTGTCGGGCAAGGTGAAACTACAGGGCAAGGCCATACCTTATCACCAACTAGATCATTGCCCATAAGGAGCGAAATGCCATCACTTGGTATATTATCAACAACACCTAAATTTACGTACCCAGTTATCAATTTAGATTCAAGGTAGACTTTACATATGGGTATACTCTTGGACCCTACCAGTCCATTAATAATAATCATCTCTCCAGTATAGCAGTCAGGGTTAGGAACCATCTCCTTGAGTACCAATGATATATCTGCAGCCGAGTCCCGTAGAATAGTGACTGGGGAAGACGACTTACACGACTCATCGACACTAAGAAATCCTGTGGAACAAAATGGTCTAAATGAAGGTGTCACAACTTTAGATTCAGTAATGGAAAAGGGAAAAGGCCACGTTTATCACAAGGATATTTCGATGTAACCTTTGTCGTCTTATTAGCACTGACATGAAAGATACGTTTGTTATTATCAGAACGCTTATTTGTCAATCTAAAACAGTCATTTATGGCATGACCATATTTCTTGCAATAACGGCAAAAAGAAAAATTCTCACCGCGAGAAGCAACCTTCTTACTCTCATCACCACCTGTTTCTGACTTTGTATGAACAGTCCTGTGGGTATCTGGCAGTCCAGTCCTCCTGGAACTATACTCCATCCTCTTACCATTATGCTGGATAGACTGGAATGAAGGCTCATTAGATCTGCAAGAGTAGTTGGGATTAGTGAGAGCGAAATGATCGGCGGCTTTGCCGACCTCGGCTAATGTGCGCAGACCACGTTCGTCAATGTGAGAGCGAACTTTTACAGGCATACTTTTCTTAACTTCCTCTAGTACAAAGAGCTCGAGTAATTTATCGTACTCGAGTGCATCAAGTTCACTCTCGACCCATTTCTTACACAAAAGTTGCTTTTGGCGAATAAATTCAACAAAGGTTTGTTTGCTATCTTTACGATAATAACGGAAATCTTGTCTGTAAGCCTCTGGTACCCTTTTATAAACATTTAAAACAGCTTGTTTTACTACATAATAACATTGTGACTGTACCAAATCCAGAGCTGAGAAAACCTCTTGAGCTCTGCCAACAAATGCACTGTGAACAAGCAATACCCACTTATCTTCGGGCCAACCATGCAAGGCAGCAACTCGCTCAAAATGAATGAAAAAGTACTCAGGCTCTGTCTCATTGAATTTAGGAACAAATTTAATTGCATCCTCTATACGAAAATGAGGATGGTGTTCCCTATCAGGTCTCTGCATGAGACGCATCCGCTCATTCTCTGCCTTAAACATTTCCAAATCTATCTTACGGCTCTCCAGGTCATACTGGCGGGCCATCGTGACATCCCGAGGACACAAGGGCTCTAAATCCTCCTCACTTAACACCTTGTGTTCTAATAAATTCACTAATGTACGAATTTCAAATATGCAATAATGAGGAATCACTACAAATGGCAAACAAAAGTGATTAACAAAATGCGAATTGACAGTTCAAAATCCCGGTCAGGCCCCCACTTGTTACGGCTGGTATGTCACCAAGAGAATTAAGGGGAAGAGCAGCTCCGCTGAACTCGAATTCTCCCAATGCGGAAGCCAAAATCATAGACGCGAAGTCAAATCTGAAGGATATGGCCTGGTATGAACGGCTAAATACCACGTAACAACAGCTCGTGCTAAAGTACTACTAGTGATTGTTATTCTTCTGGTTAATTCATTTGTATTAATTCATTTTCATTC